AATTTGACAAAAAACTTTAACTGTTAGTGTAATACTTGTGTTCGTTGAGGTGTTAGAACCTGGTATGCATTGGTACTGAGGCCAGGGGGCCAGGGCAGTGAGGTGGAAGAGGAGAGTGCTCGAAGTTAGCTGTGCCAAGGTTACATTCCTTCAGGGCAGAGCGGTGCACTTTAGAAACTGTCTGATTCCCCATTTGGACTTTTTGCTGTTAGGAGCTGACTGGAAAAAAAAACAAAACCACAGTTTCTTCTCTTCTCCCACTCAACAACAATCAACACAGAAGACTTCTGTGACCAATGTGTGGGGATTTCTCCCCAGCAACAAGCAATCAATCAGTTCTGCAGCAGACATCAGCTGGGTGCCCTCCAATTCAATTCTGACACTATCTATCTGGAGATAGCGTCAGATCCCACAGGTGGAGGGCTTAGGGCCCAAGACTGCTCCCCTTCCTGCCTTCAGATGCCAGTCACAAGCTCCAGGCTGTTTGCCTGTGTGTTTTTTTTTTTTTTTTTTTTCCTCTTGAGACGGAGTCTTGCTCTGTCACCCAGACTGGAGTGCAGTGGCATGACCTCGGCTCACTGCAATCTCTGCCTCCCAGGTTTAAGCGATTCCCCTGCCTCAGCCTCCCAAGTAGCTGGGACTACAGGCACGCACCACCACGCCCAGCTAATTTTTTTGTATTTTAGTAAAGACGGGATTTCACCATGTTGGCCACGATGATCTCGATCTCCTGACCTTGTGATCCGCCTGCCTCAACCTCCCAAAGTGCTGGGATTACAGGTGTGAGCCATCGCGCCTGGCCTTGCCTGTGCTTCTAACTGACAGGCTATAAATCAGGTTTCCTGCAACTCCCGCCTTGGGTTCGATTAATTTGCTAGAGAGGTTCACAGAATTCAGGGAAACACATTTACCAGTTTATTATCAAGGATATTACAAAGGATATGGATGAAAAGATACAGAGGGCAAAACATGTGGGAAGGGGTGTGGAACTTCCATGCCCTCTCCAGGTGTACAACCTTCCCGGAACCTCTGTATGTTCAGCTATCCAGAAGCTCTCCAAACCCTGTCCTTTAGAGTTTTTATGGAGACTTCGTTACATGGGAATCATTGGTTACCTCGCTGGCCTTGGGTGATCAACTCAACCTTCAGCCCCTCTTCCTTATACCTTCCCCCTTCAGTGGGTGGGGCTGTACGTCCCAACTTTCTAATCCTGCCTTGGCCTTTCTGGTGACCAGTCCCCATCCTGAAGCAGCCATCAGTCATTAGCATACAAAACGACCTCACGTTTGGCCAGGTGCAGTGGCTCACACCTGTAATCCCAGCACTTTGGGAGGCCAAGGTGGGTGGATCACCTGAGGTCGGGAGTTCGAGACCAGCCTGACCAACATGGAGAAACCCCGTCTCTACTAAAAACGCAAAAATTAACTGGGCGTGGTGGTGCATGCCTGTAATCCCAGCTACCAGGAGGCTGAGGCAGGAGAATCGCTTGAACCGGGAGGTGGAGGTTGCGGTGAGCCGAGATCACGCCACTGCACTCCAGCCTGGGCAACAAGAGCAAAACTCTGTCTCGGGGGTAAAAAAAAAAACAAAAAACAAAAAAAAACCACCTCACTTTGGAGATTCTAAGGATTCCAGGAGTTGCTTGGCAGGAAACTGGATGAAGACCTAATACATATTTCACAATATCAGAGGATCTGACAAATGCAAAGTGTTTGGAACAGTGACCCTCAGGGAATGGTCATTCCGTCCTCCAAGACCATACCTGTAGTGTGTGGTGATAAAAGTTCCAGCCTGTGTCAGCTGTGAGGGGGAACAGGGAGCCAGCCCAGAGAAGGTGATAAAAAGGTAAACAAGGGGCATGGAGTCAGGACTCTCCCCAACCCCCCTGCCGTGGGTACCCACCCTGCCTCCTCTCCTTCAGGGCTGGCATTTTTTAATTGAGAAGTGGATCTCTCCTCCAGAACTTCCTTCTTAAACTTAAACCTAGGAGGATTTTGTGTATTCTTCCCCTAAGAGATGGTATATCTTTGCACTAATAGCTTGTATAGTGCTTTCTACCCATCAGGCACTATTCTAACTACTACACAAATGATAACTAATTTAATCCTCTTAATCCTGTGAAAAGGAGACATTTCAATTCCATTTAACAGATGTGGGAACTGAGGCTCAGGGGGTTTAGTAAATTGCCTATGGTCACACGGTGAATAAGCTGTGAAAGCAGGATGGTACCAGAGTCCACCCTCTGATCCCTCACCCCTATTGCCTCTCAGGATGGAAGATCTGGTTCTTTCTCCTTCAGCTTCACTGGCACTAACACACCGGGGGTTCTGGATAAGCCACTGCCCCTCTCTGACTCTCCCTTTTCTTCTCTGGGAAGCAGAAAGTCACCTGAGCCTGGTGGCCTCCCAGGACTGCTGCAAAGACTGGGCGTAGGCTTCTCTGGGAGAAAACTGACACAGCATTGTTGGGAGCAGATGTGTCAAGCTGGGCTCCCAGCATCCTGTCCCATGGATCAGGGCCAGGGCAGGAGGCCTCTCTGAGCCCCATCAGCAGACCCGCAACAGGGCTCACAGGCAACCTGAGGCCTTGCAGGGGGATCAGGATTGGGGACACTAACGAGGATGCTGGGAGAGAAACCCCTTCTCTCTGATAGCAGATTCAGGCAGACAGGCATACGCTGTGCCCACGGTCTGCACCCAGGCCAAGACCCTCAGAGGTTAAACAGATTCTTATGTGCTATTTATCATCTTGGAGAAATTGGAGTTTTCTGGGTAATAGGAAAGCTGACAGACTCCAGCTGGTCAGGCCTGCTGGGGACTAGCGGGGGAAAGAGCAGGAACCGTGGGGCCTTTGGGATAGAACTTCACACTCCCTAACTCCGAGGGTGGGACAGAAGCAGAAAAGGGCTGGAGAGGAACTTCTCTGTGGCAAAGACCCACACCCGCGGGTCTCTCTGTGGCCCACATAGGAGTGAAGGCAGATGCCTGTACCCTTAGAGTTGAGAAGGGAGCTCCTCTATGCAACGCCTGTCATTTTAGAGACGCGGGAACTGAGACTCAGAGAGGGGCAGTACATATCCGGTGTCACACAGCTAGTGGGGCCCAAATTTATTACCAGGATTCCCACGGGAAGCTTTGGCGTAAGGCCTAAGACGCTGGCTGGAGACACTCCCTAGGGGCCGGAGGTGGGAATTCAACATCCAGAGACCACTTGCTCCAGCGTAGACAGCACCACAGTAGGTTCCTAAGTGGGGAAGCATGTCCTGGGGGACCCAGGGAAGAAAGTCCGAACTCCCTCCCCTGGCATTCTAGGCTCCCAGCCCCCCTTCTGCCTATCTCCTTCACTCCACCCTTCAGCCGCCCCTGGAGCATTCCCAGCTCATACTCCTCTGCACTCTCGTCCACACCCCTCTTCCCATCTGCATCCCCTTTACCCTACTCTTCTGATTAACTGAATGCTCCCACCACTCAACGCCTCTGAAGCCTCCATTCCTGGTCTCCCTACCCTGTAACTTGCCCCTCCTCCAAATTCCTTACTGGAGCTAACAGCATACCCACTTACCGGTAGAGTGGATGCCCAGATTCACCCCTCAGGACAGAAGCACTTTCTTCTCCAGCTGCCGGAAAGTTAGTGGCTCCCAGGTGAGGCCCTCTATAGACACTGCCTTTGAAGTCAGCTGACTCACCTGAGGAGTCATGGCCCCTTCCCCCATCCCAGTGGATGGCCAGTGATTGATGGGGGCATAAAGGATTTCCCTCCTTTTCCCCCATGTGGGACAACTCCAGGGGTCATCTCAGCTTCAGAGCTTCCTGCCAGATCAGCAGAAGTTACTGTAACTGTGCCTCGGTTCAACTTTTCCTCAGCCTTGACCACCTCCCTCATCGGGATTGTTCTCAAGAGCTCACTAATCTCTATCTCAGAATGTTTTCCAGGGCAGCCAGTTTAGGATCCCCGGTAATGTAATGGTTAAGCAGCCAGCCTGGGTTCCAACAAGGAGCAACTGGGTTTAGTTCTGTGACCTTGGCAGAGTTAAGTAACTTCTCCATGCAGTTATCTGTTAGGTGAGAATAATGCTGAGGCAGTAGCTTCCATCTCCTGTGAGTGCTGTGACAATTAAATGAGATGGTGTGTGTGTTACACGATATTGAGAAAGGTCTCAATATGCATTAGTTATCATTTACATTTAACTTCTCTGAGGCTCAGGCAAATACGGATAGGATATTACTACTCGTGTCGTGGGGTTGTGGGTGAGAAATCAGATTGGGAGACAACGGGTTAGACTTGGTGCTGCTTCAACCTAATACAGACTTTGGGGTCAAGGTCCCCTAGATTTGTGGTCTGGAGGCCTGACCCCTCCAATAACTGAAAACGGTTATATTAGTTTTCCATTACTGCTGTAAAAAATCACAACTTAGTGGCTTCAAACAGCACTAATTTATTATCTGACAGTCCTGAAGGTCAGAAGTCTGGTATGGGTTTCATGAGGCTGAAGCCCAGGTGCCGGCAGGCCGTGTTCCTTCCTGGAAGCTTTAGGAGAGGGTCTATTTCCTGCTCGCTCATGTTGTTGGCAGATTCAGTTCCTCTGGTTGCAGGACTGAGGCCCTCATTTTCTTGCTAACTGTAAAAGAGCTGCTGATCCCAGATTCTAGAGGCCACTGCATTCCTCAGCTCCTGGCCCCTTCCTCCATCTTCAAAGTCAGCACAGGCGGGTGGAGGGCTTCTCATGGTTTATCTCTCTGACCTACCTTCTTTGGTTATCTTTTACTTTGAAGTACTCGTGATTATACTGGGCCCACCTGGATAACCCCCGACATTCTCCCCATCTCCAGGTCCTTAATCACACCTGCAAAGTCCCTTTTTGCCATGTAAGGTAACATATTCACAGATCCCAGGGATTAGGACATGAACATGTTGGGGGCAGCAGGGGTCATTATCCTGCCTACCACAGCCATCCAACGTGGAGCAATCTTTGATCCAAAATTCAACCCCTCCCTTTCCAGGGAGAGGTCTGTGCCGTTTCCTGTGCAGCAGGGACCTACGGCCCCAACTGCTCGTCCATCTGTAGCTGTAACAATGGTGGCACCTGCTCCCCAGTAGATGGCTCCTGTACCTGCAAGGAAGGTAATGTGCCCTCTCTCCCAAGCTCATCCCCCACATATGAGCACACTGCCCAGGTGGTGCTGCCAGCTGAGGTGGGGCTGCCCCAACCCCACCCACATGCAAGGTCAGGAAGCCTATATTGCTTGGGTTCCAGGCAAGGAAACCCATGCCAGGAACTTCAATAGCAGGAATGTAATGAGGGGATTCATTGCAATGTTCAAAGAGCTGAAGAGCACACAGGGAAGGTATGCAACCCAGACATTAACACCTGTGGGAGAAGCTGCTATCGCTCCTAGGGTTGGAGGAACAAAAGAAAGAGTTCCCAGAGCCTGGGAGTGAAGGGTACCTGGTAGGCACTGAGACATGGAGAGAGGGGGCTGCGCCACCGCCCGAGGCCCCAGACAGAGAAAGAGGGAGAGGACACACCTATCTCTCCTGCTTCCACTCTCCAGTCTGTGGGCAGGTCTCCCACATGCAGCCCAGCTGGGAGATAGCTGACGGGAATCCTGGAATATGCATCCCGCAGGGGCCAGCCCCCATCACAAACAGGGAAGCGGGGAAGGGGAGAAATGGTGCAGTAGGCAAAGAGGCCAGTAACCAGCCTAAAAATGGAGAATCAGCTGTCCCTCAAACAGAGGGCCCTGAGTTAAGCTGCCAGACTCCACCCTGGGCAGAGACAGCACTCCCCACCTGAGGTGGTACCTGTTCCAGGTAGGATCATCTGCCTGGAGCACAAACAGTGAGCACCCAGAGGCAGGAGACCTGGGTTCTAGCCCCAGCTCTCCTAACAGCTCTGTTGAATTTCTGAACTGTGTGTGGAATGTGTGTTCTAACCCAGCCCTCAGGAAAGCAGTGGTTTGGGTGGGATGCTGTGTGTAGAGCTAGGGGGAGTGGGCAAAAAGACACACTGGACCTGGAGAAGTGACAGTCCCTTTCCCTCCCCTCAGGGTGGCAGGGCCTGGACTGCACCCTGCCGTGTCCCAGTGGGACATGGGGCCTGAACTGCAACGAGAGCTGCACCTGTGCCAACGGGGCAGCCTGCAGCCCCATAGATGGCTCCTGTTCCTGCACCCCTGGCTGGCTGGGAGACACCTGTGAGCTGCCTTGCCCGGTGAGTGCCAGGGTGGGGAGGGACAGGTTGGGCTTAGCATTCTCTCACGCCCTTTCCCTGGTGTTAGTTTGTCCACAAGAGTGCACAGAGAAAAGCACTAAGCTAGGTGATGGGACACTTAGATTTAGGTTACAGTCCTAGTCCTAACTTCTCTGTGGCTATTTTACTACTTTGGCCCTCATCCCTCTCATCTATAAAATGGCAAATACTTGGCAGATGTGGTGACATGGCATCACTTTTCCCGTGTTGCTCTTGGTAAACACTATTGACTGGCACTCGAGCTCAAATGCAGCTTCAGATTCCTTCACAACCCAGTGCTACAAGACAACCCTTACTAATCCACGAGACTTGCCATTCCTTGGTAGATAATGTCTGAGCTTCCTTCTGGTTCCAACAGTCTGTACTTTTGAGCTTCCTTCTGGTTCCAACAGTCTGTACTTTTATGATCAGAGTGTGTGGCGACTAAAGCAAGCACTGTTCAACAATAACCACCCAGACTTAATCACTGGATCTTATAGGTCTGAGATACAAATAAGTTAAACCCACTGATATACTGTTGGATGAGTGAGCAATGCACTCCTTAATGAGTAATTTGGAGTCCTGCAATCCTGAGTTCAAATCTTGGCTTTGTCACATCCTTTGTAACCTTGAGCATGTTACTTCACCTCTCTAACCTTGTTTCTCATCTTTAAAGTGGGAATATAATGGAATCATATCATGGAATTGCTGTGAGGATTAAGAAAAATGAGGTATATGAGGCTTTTGATACCTAATGAGCATGTAAGAATTGGTGACTACCTTCTTCCCCAGCAACAAAGAATAAATCATAGTCATTCCTCACATGTGATCAATGTGTTACAATTTGCAAAGTGCACTTTCATTTACAATTTTAGTTAATGATCATTACAGGCCTTTGAGCTTGACCACTGAAAAGTAGAGCAGGAGTATCACCCTCCCTCCCAACCTCATACTCCTGTTAATGCAGCCAAATAATTCTTCAGAGTGTCTTCATGGCTGTGTTGATTCCCACTTACAAAACGTGTCCCCATTGTGCCCCAGCCCCAGTCTCCCTACATCCCTGTGGGGTTCTGGCTCAGTTTTGTCATCCAGATCCAGTAGATCTCACTGGACCCTCTGAAAGTAAAAATGAAAGAAAAGATCCATAGAAGTAACACAAACCTCTGGAAGTTTGGGTCTGATCATTTTTCTCTCCCTGTCTTCTCCACAGGATGGCACATTTGGGCTGAACTGCAGTGAACACTGTGACTGCAGCCATGCTGATGGATGTGACCCTGTCACAGGCCACTGCTGCTGCCTGGCCGGATGGACAGGTAACCTTCCCTTGCTGTGCCACCACCCAGGTACTGTGAAACTGGGTTCTTGGTATTTTACTTCTCTTGACCATTCTTTCTTCTTCAATACCTTTCTTCTTGATCCCTGAATATGCATCTTTCCCTTTATCTGCTCTGGGTTCCAGTTCTCCATTCCATTTAATTCAAGTATTTATTGAATATCTATTAGGTATAAGCTCTGTCCAAGGCACTGGAGTCACTCCAGTAGGTCAAAAGCTGACATATGGTGGGTGTAAGTGCTCAATCTAGAGAATATGATGGAGAAGGGGACAAGGATCTTTCTCTTTAGTCCAGTCTCAGAATTCTGCTCCTTATATCTATCCTGTCAGCTTGCCTCCTAATACAAGGTGAATCCATCTACTTCTCTCCATCCCACTGCCACCACACGGTCTGCTGGGCACCATCCCGCATCTGGCACTGCCTTGGACTCTGATCTTGCCCGGCTGCATTCATTCTGCACCTGGTGGCCAGAGTCAACTTTTCAAACCCAGACCTGCCATTTCAGTCCCTGTTCAGAATGCCTCAATGGCTTCCCACGACTCTTATATAAAACTTTAAATCCTTACCATGGCCCAGGGCCCATGGGATCTGGCTCTGCCTGACTCCTCCACCTCGCTCTGCTCACTCTGTGGCTCACTACATTCCAGCCACCAGGGCCACAGTCTACTTCTTCAGGGAGCCAACCACCTTCCTGACTCCAGGCCGTTGTACATGCCATTCCCTCTGCCTGGATCATTTCCTTCCGTTTTTCACTTGATAACTCCTTGTCTACCAGATTTCAATGTAAAGCTTTCTTCCTCTAGGAAGGCACTGCCCCTGCTATGATACCCACCCCCCACCTGACCAAGACAAAAGCATCCCCTTTATTAATTCTTCTACCCTACATTTTTCCTATTGTGGTACTTAAATTAAAGTTCAGTGACAACTGTGGTAACTGTTTATCATCTGCCTCCCTAATGTGGCCATCAGCTCTATGGAGGCATATGCCTTATTCACCATTGTATCCACTGCCTGCCACAGAGATATGGATAACATGGTTGTTAAGAACCCAGCTCTAGAGCCAGACTGCTGGGGTTTATGACCTTGGGCAAGTCGTCTAACCTCTCAGGGCCTGAACTCTCCATCCCTAAAATACAGATAATTATTCTTGCAACTACAGGGTTGTTTTGAAGCTTAAATGAGTTACTACCTATAAAGTGCTAATAGTGCCTGGCACATAGTAAGTGCTCAGTAAAAGTAGGCCATGAACACAGGAAGTGCTTATTAAGAATTTCAGGAGTGAACCTACTAGCCAGTCCCAAGGTGATGAGCAGCAAAGAGAAAAAAATAATAGTCATTTCTGGCAGTATAGGTTATCAGATTAATAATTAACACCAGGTTGCTGCACAGCCTCTGTTCATAACCAGAAAGTTTCTAAGCAGCCAAGAGCCAGGGACATTGCTTCCTCTGCAGTATCTCTGGCCTGGCTTCCCCTGCCCTGCTGGCTCCTGCCCCTCAGTAAAGAATAAGGCTCCACCCTGGTCACTGGCACCCTAGGATCTCAGCAGAAGCCAAGTGGAAATCAACTTTAATTTTTCATTGCCTTAATTTTGAGTGAGCCGATTAAGATTTTAATGACATCTAGTGCTTAAAAATTCTGTCTTTGGTGAACAATCTTTCAGCAAGGCCTCTGCTGTTCTAAACCTGATTTCCCCAAATGTGGTCCTGAAGTCTTTTCAAAGAAGCAATTGATGTCCTGAGGTTTGTCATGTAGAAGGGGGCCAACGAGAGATGGAGATGGGCCTCCCACTGAGCCCTCCCCACTCACCTCTGCCTCGAGAAAAATCTGTGCCTAATTTCCCAGTCCCTGGCACATTGCTCATTCCTTGGCTCGGCACAGGTTTGGGGCTGCCAGGAGATGTGCTCATGTCTTCCCTTTACCCTCATAAGCCATAGGCTTACTGATAACTGGCATTTTGTCTTATTCATCTTGCCCTGCATATAATATGTGCTTATTAAATGTTTATTGAAATAAACTGGAAGAAGTTGGCCTATAACCATTCCTGATTTTTCCCCTTAAAGTGGGGGAGACTTTAAAGATTATCTCCTCCAACCTTCTCATGCCACAGATAAGGAAAAGGAGTTGTCTGGGGTCTCAGGACATTGGGGCCAATAGGATGAGAGACTCAGGATTGTATCTTAAGGGGGAACCATTTATTCAATTAACTAGCATTTATTGACTCAAGCAATTACCAAACTCAGCAGTAAATGGTAAAAAGCAACAGTTTCTGAGTACCTACTGTGTGCCAAACACTGTGCTGGGCACCAAAGATGCAAAAATGACCAAGATGGCATCCTGTCCATGAGGAGCACCTAGGTAAGTAAAGTCAGAAGTGTCAGTAAGCCATGGTCCCTGTCTTCACATTGCTGGCAGGGGAAACAGGACTCATGTGTATGAAGCTTTCAAGTAACAGGTACAGACAAAGCTGTATGCTGCTGGTTATCAAAGAGATGCTTGTCTCCCTGGGCAGACATCCAAGAAAGCTTCCTGGGGAAGGAATGGACCCTGAAGGACCTGAAACGGACCCTGAAGGATATGGGATGCTGAGTGGCTACTGGCTTCATTGCATGAACCAGAGATCATCATGTATGGATACCTAGCCTAGGTTTACCCACCAATATAGATGTGGGGGTGGGGAAGATTCCTGAAAAATAAAGTAAGGGGATTCCCTAGAGTAAGAAAGGAAAGGACCTCTGAGGGAGACTATCCCTATCCAACTGTGGGGAAAACTGGGGCCCAGGAAGGTAACTGAAGCTGCTTCTTCAGAAACTATAGCTGGGAGCCTCCCACAAGGCCAAGGCCAGCCCCTTTGATCGTATCAGTAAGTCACTTCTGGAACTGGGCACTCCGTATGGGGAAATCCTTGACCCTTCTTTCCACTTAGATCCCATGTCTTAAGCTCCAAGAAGGTCTTGGGACATATAGAACCACCACAAACAGGAGCCCCACTCCCACGGAAACAGGCCCAGAATATAATAACTGCCAAGTCCTAGAACCCAGTGGGACTTTGCAGACACCTTCAGTCTGAGAATAAACATGGTACACTCACGGTTCTCAATCTCCATAAACGAGGACCCCTTGTGACATGAAAACACTAAGGATTCCACAATGAGAGTAGCTATACTTTTAATGGCCATTGGCTAGGATAAACACAATAGCAACCAGCTGCCATGAATTCAGTGGTGCTTTCACATACATTGTGTTTTATGAACAGGAAAGAGCAGTGTCTATGTGTGACACATGTGCCTTGGTCAGCTGGCAGAGTGCTTGGTGTGCAGTGGAATTGGAGGCCCTGTAGGCAGCAAAGCTCCACCTCAGTGCAAGGAACAGCTGTCCCTAGGCCTGTGGTCTGAATCCTGGGTTTCCAACAACCACAGGCAAAAGAAGTCCTAGGCTGGTGCAGTGGCTCATGACTGTAATCCCAGCACTTTGGGAGGCTGGGGTGGGCAGATCACTTGAGATCAGGAGTTTAAGACCAGCCTGGCCAACATGGAGGAACCCCGTCTCTACTAAAAATACAAAAGCTAGCCAGCTGTGCTGGCTCACACCTATAATCCCAGCTACTCGGGAGGCTGAGGCAGGAGAATTGCTTGAACTTGGGATGCAGAGGTTGCTGTGCGCTGAGATCATGCCACTGTACTCCCGCCTGGGTGATTGCACTCCCACCTGGGTGATAGAGTGAGACCCCGTCTCAAAAAAAAAAAAGCCTTATGGCAGATCACAGCTTTGTTGTGCCCAGGAAAAGGAGAAACTTGAAGATGGATCCAAAACTTTGAACAGTTTTATAGTTTCCACTTTCCCAAACTCCCTTTAGTCAATCTATGATGCCTGTCCAGGGTTCACCTCTTGGGCACCTGAAACACCACTGGGAGAGACCCCTGTCAATGGGTAAAATATGGCTGCCAGATCCCATTCCCTGGGGAGGAAACCACTTGCCCCCCCGCCCACCCACCTGCAACCATCTCCCAGAGAGTGGCATCTGAAGCCTCTACCCTACTGCAAAACTGAGACACTACAGGGAGGGAGCGCAAATGCTGGGCTAGACTGAGGAACAGGAGGATGAGTAAAGCCTGTTGCATGCCCCTCCCTCTCCCCTCTCCAGTGGTTCCACCCTCCCTCCCCTCTCCTCGACAGCCTAGGTGGGCTTGTACAATTCCAGTCTGCCTCCAAATTGGTCCCACTGCTCTCATGCTGCTGCTAGGGCTGGCTCTGTTCACTGGGCACAAGTGTCTTTCTCCTTTCTTTCTTTCTCTTTCCCACAATCGCTGTCCTTATAACAAGGCAGACATGATTTTTCAACTAATTCTGCCCCTCTCTGAGCCTCTGATATTCACCTTCTGAAGCCAAGCCAGTCTCGTGGGCTCATATGTTCCATTTCCCTAATGCATGTCAGAATGGAAGCCTTTCTGCCTGGGAAGAAAACCTACCCCAGAGTTGGGGCATCCAGCCTCAGGCCTTTTAAAATTCCTTCTTCGCCTTCAGGCTGTAGGGAACCTAACACACATTTCCTCTACCTGAGCCCAAAAAAACTATTATAGACTTTGTTCCTTTTTCTTATTGAGAAATTCCATCCATTCCCCCATAGGCCACTGTCAAACTGAGGTTCACTAAATCAAATTGTTGGGTTACAACTGGCATTTTAAAAACTGAAATAGAATACATCATAGTACAGAGAAAACATCAGAGTCCATCATACATAGTGACAGTAAATGTAATTTTTGCAAAGCACTGGTTTCTATTGTATGTGTGCATGAATGATACACATACTGCGCTGAGGAGTCTGGTCAGAAGAATCTGCAGAGACCCCACCTACTCTCTGAGCCCCTCCCTGGGTGGGCTGGCAGGGACCCAGCAGCACCAGTAGCTCCTGGGCTAATGTGCGTGGGCATATGGCTCACTCCCAGCTGGCACTTACTTGCCCATAGTTGGTTTCTCCTGGTCCTGTTCTTGAATGCCATACAGAAGAGGCCCTTGTGATCTGGTCCCTTCTTACTCCCACAATCTCATCTCTTGCCGTACCCCATTTTGCACTTTGTGGTTCAACCACACTCACTATTTGCAATTTCTTTCAAGACATGATTCTTTCTCCTGCCTCCTGCTCTTTGTGCATACAATTTCATTTGCTTGGTCAATTCTTCCTTGACTTTTAAACTCTGGACATCACTTCTTCCTGAAAATCCTCCATGACCAGCCAAGCCTCAGCTGAGTTTCTCCTCTACATTCCTGGATGCACTATGCTGCCTCCACCTCTTCATACTGCACTGTCCCCCTTCCCTCCATTTTTCCCTCTGCCCTCACCTCTTACCACTGACCTGAGTCTGCCTCTGGCCCACAGGCATCCGCTGTGACAGCACGTGTCCATCTGGCCGCTGGGGCCCCAACTGCTCTGTCTCCTGCAGCTGTGAGAATGGAGGCTCCTGCTCCCCAGAGGATGGGAGCTGCGAGTGTGCCCCTGGCTTCCGAGGACCCTTATGCCAGAGAAGTAAGGCTGATCCTGTGACCCCGAAGAATTCAGAGGGCTCATCCTCCCTAGCCCTCCCAACTAGAACTAGCCCTGGCCTGACAGAGGCTGGGCTCTTAAATCAGCCCCCATCTCTTCCTTCCCTGTAGTCTCCATTCTCTCTGCACTGGCTGCTCTGTCCCCAGGCTTGGGGCCCAGCCCAGCTACTCAGTGGCAACAGGGCCACACCACAGCTCTTCTCTGCAGAAAGGGATGCACCCTCCAAGATGCGGGAAGGATGCAGGTCTCCCTATGTTTTTGAGAAGTGTGGAACAGGAAGGGTAGCTAGGCTGGCTGGGGTCTATTGGGCTGCTGACCACCATCTTCCCTTTACCCTCAGTCTGTGCCCCTGGGTTCTACGGCCACAGCTGCGCCCAGCCATGCCCCCTCTGCGTGCACAGCAGCGGGCCCTGCCACCATGTCAGCGGCATCTGTGAGTGCCTTCCAGGATTCTCTGGAGCTCTCTGCAACCAAGGTACTGTCTCCAGTAGGATGGTACAGGGCAGGGAGGTGAGAGGTTCTGGAAGGAAAGTGGCAGGGAAGGAAGGGCTTAGGGATTTTCATCATACTCTGTAAAGGTAGCTCCTTCCCTCTTCAGGACTTGGGCTGCCTTTATGAGAACTGCCCCACATGGCATGAGACAAAGGCCCTAACGCAGTTAACAGGCTCAGAGGTGAAATGCTTTATCTGTGATTTCGTAGCTAGCAAGTGGCAGAAACAAATTCTGATTCCAACATGCATGCTAAAGGGATGAAAAGTGAAATAAGCATAGAGGAGATCTACATCAGAAGTGGCACCATGTGGTCTGTGCCGAGTGCCAAAGGTAAAGGGCAGAGAATGCTGTGGGAGTGTAGAGGAGTTGGTTCTGGCTTGGGCTGGAGATGGCAACTTCCAAGCCCTTCTCCCTGTCATAATCAGGCCACCATCCCTAATCCCTCCCCACATGCTTTCCTGATTTGACCTCAGAATCCTTCACAATACCAACTCCAAGAACTGCTACCACTCAGCAGGAGTTGAAAAGCGATATAAAGCTTATTTGCATTGGTGTTCTGCCCTACCAGTTCTGTGTGGGGGAAAAACCCTATCTGTAACATCTGCAGATTTTAAAAATATAAATATTCCTACCATGGCTGATTTCAAGGTACCAATGATTTAACATCATTCACAAAATTCCCAAATATTGAACAACCAGTGAGAAGGTCGGAGCTGCCTCCACACATCATTGCCTATTGCCATCCCTGGCTTTCTTAGGACGAGACAGTATAGATTTGGGGGAAGGCTCCGTGGACCATGCAGGACTTCAGCTGGGCCTTAGCTTGAAAGGTGGAAACGGAAGAAAAGCATTCTGTGTAGAGGAAGCAGCTTAGGCAAAGCATAGAGACATGGGCATGCTACAGGGAACAGCTGATGGATATGGTAGCTGGGGGTGGGAAATGGGGGTTAGAAGGTAGGCTGAGGCCTTCAGAACAGGTTTGAACACAAGGTTACAGAACTTGCACTCTGTTAAACTTAGGGCTAAAAGCAACTTCAAGGTCATCTATGCAAGAAATCTCATCTGGACTCTGCTTAAATACTTCTGTTGACTGAACGCTCACTACCTCCCAGGGGAACCCATTCTTTTGATGAATAATCACTACTGAGCTGGGCTATTTTTTGCAAGTGTGTGGGCTGTTAATGTGTTTGAGTAGAAAGTTTACTACATGATGCTTTGAGGTCCTGAGAAGTTTGAGCCCCAGGGAAACATATGTGACAGTTTCATTTACTTGCAGCCCTCCTAGGATGGTTTAATCATAACCTGACATGTCGAAGTTTACTTATTAAACATAGGAGACTCGGCCATCAATACAGATAGTCTAGGTCTAAATTAGGACCCATGCAGCCCGAGGAGTAACTCTCAGATGCTGCGTTGTCTGATTTATCGCCCACTGGCCTAATGAGTATTTCCCACATATAGATCTAATACAGTTTGCTATTAATGGCAACTGCCCTGGTTAAGTCTCAAACCTTGTAAAAAATTGAACTGACACTTTCTAATGACTGGCTTTCCAGCGAGTTACAAATTATAGACACTGCTCATGCAGAATCATTAAACATAGATTAAATATAACCAGATGTTTTCTTTTCACCAGCCCCCCTTCTGTCCACTGCCCCTCTTTGCCTTACTCTTGATTCAGCTAAGAAGTCGACCAATTAATGGATTAGATTGATCGTATTAGCAGTTCTGTGGGTAAATTTCTTAGCCTCATATATATGAGAAAGACTTCAAAGATAAGACTGTCTTGTTAGAGAAGCTCAGAGTTCGTTTTGCAGGTAGGGAGCAGCACTGGCACCCTACTCCCCACAGAGGGCCAGGACTTGGGGTTGGGTTCCCCAAATCAAGTACTTCCCAGAGGTAGGAAAGAAGAGGCTGGGCAGCCTGCTTTTCAAAAAGCTGGAGCTTGAGCTGCAAACAGGTGAGATGCATGTCACCCTCTTGGCAACAGAACTTCCTGGAAGGGAACTAAGGTTTCTGCCAGGGGAAGCACAGGGTCCAAATCAGCCAGCCTGCCACAGCTACTAACCATGGCCCTAGGACAGTCGGTGAGGGCTCCCATTCCCACCTCAAAGATGAGGAAACAGAGACTAGGACAGGTGTTGTGGTTTGCTCAAAGGCACTTAGCCAGCAAGCGGTACAACTTCCTAGTTGTGTGACCTTGGGCAAGTTACTTAACCTGCCTCAGTTTCTCATCTATAAAGCAGAGTTAATGATAGGGCATAATAATGAGACTACATAATAAAAGTATTCCAAGATTAAGTGAACTAAATACAGGCATACCTTGTTTTATTGTGCTTCACAGAAACTGCATCTTCTTGTTTTTTACAAATTAAAGGTTTGGCCGGGTGCAGTGGTTCACATCTGTAATCCCAGCACTTTGGGAGGCCAAGGTGGGTGGACTCCTTGAGGTCAGGAGTTCAAGACCAGCCTGGCCAACATGGTGAAACCGTGTCTCTACTAAAAATACAAAAAAATTAGCCGGACGTGGTGGCACGCGCCCATAATCCCAGCTACTGGGGAGGCTGAGGCAGGAGAATTGCTTGAACCTGGGAGGAAGAGGTTGCAGTGAGCCAAGACTGCACCACTGCACTCCAGTGAGACTCTGTCTTGAAACAAAAAACCAAAGGTTTGTGGCAACCCTGCCTTAAGCAAGCCTGTCGGTGCCATGTTTCCAACACCATGTGTACGCTTTGTGTCTGTGTCAGCATTTTTTTGCAATAAAGTGTTTTTTAATCAAGGCATGTACATTGTTTTTTAGACATAAAGCTATTGCACACTTAATAGAGTACAGTACAATGTAAACATAACTTTTGTATGCTCTGGGAAATCAAAACATTTGTGACTTGCTTTATTGCAATATTCACTTGCAGTGATCTAGAACCAAACCCACATCTCTGAGGTATGCCTGTATTTGTGAAGCACATTGAACAGTGTCTGGTGCATTTAAGTGTCATGTATATGTTTTGGTGCATTTAAGTGTCATGTATATGTTTGTTGAATACATAAAGAAAACTTGGACCTAAATCCAAGGCTTTGGATTGGAGAGTCTGGTCCACCGTACTGCCTTTATTATTTGTCTCAACTACCACGTCATGTCCAGGAGAGGCACTGAGTAGATGCAGATCCTAGCCACTAGTGGCCCACAGTCTGGCTGGGGAAGAACTACCAATATGAGGCAGTGTGGTGTAAAGCAGAGGGTTTCAGCCCAAGATGTGAGAGACCTGGGCCCTGGGGAAGTCATGTATCTTCAAGAATCAACACATTCCTATCATCCTCTGTGCTGCTCTCCAGGATCGACTTTATTTTGTGGCAATGGGAACCCACTGAGGCTCTCTGAGCAGGACATAGGAGTGCCATGAAGAAAGCTGTGCTTTAGAGAGCTCAAGCTGTAGGAAGCTGGTGGGGGATGAATTGCAAGGGGAAATAAAAGGTTAAGTGCTCAACGAATACTCAAGCCTAGTCCTAAAAGAGCTTTGCAGCCTGACTGAGGAAACCAGCTCTTCCTCCAGGGACAAAGGAGTGACTCCTCCAGGAAGGTCTGTGACCAAAATCCTCCAAGTGACTCAAATTGGAAATACCAGTGGTGGAGAGGGCCTTGTGAACTCAGGAAGGCTTTTCTGAGGAGGATGCTGAGCTGAGAGGCTTGAGCAACAGGTCAGAGGAAAGAGGCGGGCAGGGACAGACACTGAGGGCTGGTCCTTTAACAGTCAAACCGCAGGCAGGCCTGCCACACAGCATTTATCCCTCTCTGTCCAGCTGTACACATTCTCTACCCTTGTGGTTGTGGAATCTGTGATGTTGGTGAAAGTAGTAATGGAAAGCAGAAGGCTGTGGAACAGCACAGGGAGCACTGGACTGTGAGTCCAGAAGTATAGTGCTCAGCCTCCCACTTCTCATCTGTGAGGCCTAAGTCAGGTGATTCTACCTCCATGGGCCTCAGGCTGTTCTTAAAGGCAATCATAATAGAGCCTTCTGAAGAATGCAGCTGTAGGCATGAGAGGGGCAACTCATTTATGTGCAAATGGAGAAGGGTGACGAGGGTACCAAGGTGGGCACGGTTTCCATCCAGATCCATGACCCCTGGGTGATCGTGGCTGTGGCTTGGGAAGTTCTAGGGATGAGGCTGTGGGTGGAGGTCAGAGGAACACAGGTGGGAGGATGGGTGCCAGGCTGCCCTGTGCCCACAGTGTGTGCTGGAGGACACTTTGGGCAGGACTGTGCCCAGCTTTGCTCCTGTGCCAACAATGGGACCTGCAGCCCTATCGATGGCTCCTGTCAGTGCTTTCCTGGATGGATTGGCAAGGACTGCTCACAGGGTAAGTTGCTACTACCTGGGAATGCCTTTACCTGGAGTCAGGCCCAAAAATTCTCCTTTTCTTGCCCAAAACCTCTCTGTCCTGGTGCCTTCACTTCGAGGGATGAAATCTCCTTCTGCATGTAGGAACGAGCCCCATTTAGCTCTATAGCTAACATGATGGATTATTAGGACTGATCATTGGTATTAACTACTGGTATCAAAGGTATTGATATTGTTGATAGTACCATTAATGCTATGAATTCTGAGGCTCAATGCTCCATTAGCACCTGGGCAAGGAGTAGCCCCTGAGTTTGGATGGGGAAGAGGAGGGGCAACGGCATACTTGAGTTTGGGAGTAGGGAAGTGACTTTAGGAGAGTACGGTGCCCTCTGGGTGGCCCATGTGAATGATGTCCTAGAGGCTGTTCATGTAAAGTGCACCAATCTGATGTGAAGGGAACAGTCTCTCTCCAGAAGCCCCCAAACTAAGGATAGAGACCCTGTGGAGCTCCTTGTATGATGGGTGAGACCTAGCCAGTACCCTCCGGGAGGTCCTAGTTAGATGGCTGAGGGAATTTCCATTCTGATGAGGAGACATAGGCTTCGCTGTCAGGAGCTCACCAACTGAGAGGAGAGAGCTCCTGCCCTAGGAAAGTCCCCATTCTCGTGGGGAAGCACACACAGTACATACATGGCAAACCAGTGTTTACCCGCATGCTCCAAATCAGTCCCCTGAGAGGGGAGGCTCAGGGGCCCTCAGAGCCCTGCTGAGTCAGCATCAAACACTTGGAGAGTGGGTAGAGAATCTGGGCTTAATGGGAATCTTGGGTAACTAAGCCAAGAGGTAAGTGCAGGAATTCTGGGAACAATGTGTGAAGCCACTGAAAGCCAGGAAATGTCAGCCAGGTCCATCCTGGCATCTTGGCTCTGACGTGTACTCCCCCTTCTTCTCCCTCTCCGTCTGCCCCTCTCCGCCTTCCCCTCACCCTCTGCATTTCACCCACGTCCCAGCTTGCCCACCTGGGTTCTGGGGCCCTGCCTGCTTCCACACATGCAGCTGCCACAACGGGGCGAGCTGCAGCGCCGAGGACGGGGCCTGCCACTGCACCCCTGGCTGGACTGGACTCTTCTGCACACAGCGTAAGCCCCACCTCCTGGCCTCCCAGCCACTTAGAATCCCATGCTGCGGCCTACTGGCCAGTGTCGGCATTGTCCAGACCAGCAGGGAGGGAAGAAGGAAGGCGGCCCCAGGATTAGTACCTGACTCCTGCCCCCATGAGAACTGAGGGGCTCTGCAGGGGCAGCTCCAGACCTGACTGGATTCAGGGGACTGACAAGCCCAAAGTCCTGGAAGGTCGGGGCTGCAAGGTACCCCAGCAATCACCAAGACCAGACCCTCCTTGGACAGTGGGGCCCAGAGTGGGGAGGAGCAGCCTATGGCCACACAGGAAGGAGACCCTAGCCTGGCCTGTGGTTCCACATCCCCTCTGTCTTGAAAAGGCAAAGATCACCTAGCCCCTGCCCCTTCAGCATGAAGATCCTGAGCAGGGAGACAGCTCTGGTGCAGGGCCTCACTAGTCTTCATCCCATGCTCAGCAAAAAAGGAGACAGAAGACAGGTCTGGTTCCCGCTGCACCCCTTATCCTCACCCAGCAGCAACTCTCATGACTGGAAATCCTGTTTCTCTAGGCTGCCCAGCAGCATTTTTTGGGAAGGACTGTGGGCGTGTATGCCAGTGTCAGAATGGCGCCAGCTGTGACCACATCAGTGGCAAGTGCACCTGCCGCACAGGCTTCACCGGGCAACACTGTGAGCAGAGTAAGCTGTCCTGACCCCTAATCCTGGGTGATGCTGCTGGGCTCCAGCCTCCTGCAGAGGATGCCTCCCGCTTCAAGGTCCACTTACTCAGGGCTCTGTACCCCTTGGTCCCTTGACTTTGGGGGCAACTTCCAAGGAAAACTGCTGAGGAATGTCATGCCTACATTATTGTTTGAAGAATTTCTCCCGTCAGTTGGAAGGAGATGGGGGGCATTTAGGGCAGGGCAGAGGTCATAGCAGGTAATGAGAGAATAGTGGGAGGCAGATCTTTTTTTATTATTCTTTAAAGTCCCTATGGCACTCAGATTAGGGCCTGGCAGGTGGAAGATACTGCTGAAATGTGTTGCATGAGGAGGAAGTAGGGGTGAGTGGGCCCTGCTCTCCTCCTCTGTCCCTGTGTCCCCCACTCAGTGCTATAAATGCTCTGTCCACCCCCAAGTATCTAGCCAAAGCACAACAGGAGCTAAGGGAATAGGCTTCACTCGGTTGGAGGCAGAACAGGCTTATTGCCATAGCTGTCTACACATGGAATGGGAGGGGTGGAGAGTGAGTGGGTCCTCTACCCTAACTCTTTGTGCCACACAGGATGTGCTCCAGGAACCTTTGGCTATGGGTGTCAGCAGCTATGTGAGTGCATGAACAACTCCACCTGTGACCATGTCACCGGCACCTGTTACTGCAGCCCTGGCTTCAAAGGAATCAGGTGTGACCAAGGTAATACACAGGTGGCAGAGCCCCTGGGCTCTGTGGAAAGGGCCCCATGAAGGCTCTAGGGAGATTCCAACTGGAACAGCTGGATTTGATGACACCTGCCTTTATTCACATTTGTGAGGACAGCAGGAATAGGGTGGGCTGCAGAGGCTCCAAGAGCTGGAGAGGCATAAGGAGCTGGCAGTCTCTCAGTCACAGCCTCCCCAGGCTTGCCCTTGGCAAGTTTCCCATGAGCCAAGCAAGGGTAGCCACAAGCTAGTACTATGGAAAGGTCACCAGACCAAGTTAGAATATCTGCCAAGTTCTAGTTCTGCCTTACCTGCTAGGTGTCCTTGGGTAGGTTATTTGATTTTGCCAGGCCTGTTACTCCACGTGCAAAGTGGGAAGAGTAGATTAATCATCTTCCCCCATAACACAAGGTTACTCTGAAGGCTGAGGAGCCCAAAGGGGCTCAACCTGGGTTCTAGCCCTACAGTCGGACAACACCTCATAGGGCCTAAAGGGGATGGAGTCCCAAGGTCAGGCTGTGAGAATCAAGTTGAGACAGTATGAGTAAAGGACTCAGCATGGTGCCTGGCCCATAAGTGAACACTCCAATAAATGCTGGCTTTGTTATATAATGTGCTACAAACATGTTGGTTCTACATGGGGGATGAAAATGGGCTCTCAATTATCCACATTACAGAAAAGGAGCCAAAAGACAGATTTCCATTGCATTCTGAGGATAAATCACTGAGAACGATAATGCAGCACATTTACCTCCCTAGTGATGTTGGCCAGCTCAGTTCAGACAACAGTCAAGAAGTCCAGACACTGCGGGCCTGGCAGGACAGCCCCCTAGACTAAGCATCAGCATGGAAGGCAGGGGCAGCCCTCACATACATCACCAAGAGGGGTCCTGCGGGCAGTAAACCTGGAAATAATAGCACAGTACTTAGAGCTTTCCTTGCCAGTCTATCACTTGGTGCTCACAATGACTGGGGAGGGTGGGGCTATTGTCCCCGTGTTACAAACGAGCAAACCAGGGACTCTGAGCCACACAATTAGGAAGCAGGGAGAGGAGCTGTGTTCAGTTTCTCCTGACTCCACCAATTACAGGTTATGTAATCTTGGGCACATTACCTAACCTTTGGTAAAATTGGTTTTTTCATCTGTGAAAGGAAAATACTAATCCCTTCATAGGGCTGCTGAAGAGTAAATGAATTAATATCTGTTAACTCATTTTTGGAACACAGTAAAATAATAAATATTTGCTATTGTTTCACATCCACAGTCACAACTGCTCCTTGTCATGACCCTGGGACTCCCACCCCTTTAGGGACGAAGGCACAGTGAGGGCTGGGGGTAGTCACGTAGAGACTGAGGAAATCAGGCCAAGGCCAGAACCAGGTCTCCTAACATTAGAGAGGTTACGGGCATCTGAGCCCGGGCCCAGGAGACCTGAAGTGCAAGCAGGCCAGCCCCAGGCTCAGGCCGTCCCTCTGCCCGCAGCTGCCCTCATGATGGAGGAGCTGAATCCCTACACCAAGATCAGCCCAGCACTGGGTGCAGAACGGCACTCGGTGGGTGCTGTCACAGGCATCATGCTCCTGTTATTCCTCATTGTGGTGCTGCTGGGCCTATTTGCCTGGCATCGGCGGCGGCAGAAAGAGAAGGGCCGAGACCTGGCTCCCCGCGTCTCCTACACACCTGCCATGAGGATGACCAGCACCGACTACTCCCTCTCAGGTAAGGGCCATGCTCCTGTCCTTCCTCCTCTTCCCCTCCACACACACACCCCAGGAATGGTTGTACCTGTAGGGTTGACTGCTGTGGCTGGATGTAGAAGCTCAGTCTCCCCTAGAGTGACAGTGGGGATGGGGAGCAGGAGCCTACCTAGAAAAGGTATCTGGGGTTCCAAGAGGAAATTGTTTCCTGAGTCCCTAGCTCTGAGCAGCTATGGTTGGGAGCCTCCTCCCATTTTCCCAGAGCTTCCCTATCCTTCCCACCAGCTTTCGGCCTCAGGGTCACCCACACTAACCAGTCACTTTCCTAAGCTCTCCAGGGGACCGTCTCCCCAACCTGATGCCTGTACCACCTCAGGAGACTAGACCTTGGAGCCCAATGCCCAGAGCTTGTCCATTTGTTTCCCTGGTGAAGGCCTCAGGACAACCCTCCTTCCCAGTTCCCAGTTAGAGAGGGCCCTATTAGTACAGTGGAAGGGGACACTACCTGACTTGGGGGAGGTCTGAAAGTTTGAACAATGTCCCTCTGGCAAGTGTGCCAGAGCCCAGTGCATCCACGAATGTGGTTAGCAGCTCCAATAGGCATTTTATTTGGGAGTCTGAGTGGGGTCAAGGTGGGGCTGCTGGGCGATATCCTTCCTTTCCCCTGAACCCTGGACTGCTGCCTTGGAAATAAGAAAGGTTTTTTGCTTCATATTTGGCTAAAAAGTAGAGGCCAAAATGCTCTGAAATTGCCCTATAGTCATGGACCATGCGAGGCTGGGCCCCTCTGGGTAGGCACAAGGTGACAGCTCTCTCCAGGTGGCTCCATGGCGCATGGCTCATGGCTCATCTGCAGCCTCCTGGACCTTGTGCTTAGAAAACCCAAATCACTTCAGCCCATTCCTGCTAAGTATTGCCTTCTGTTATGTCCAGCTTCATGCTAGGTACTGCAGGGTAGACAGAGGCAGGCCAGTGCACACCATGCCTTCAAGGAGCTCCTGGTCTACATGCCACACTACAGCCAAAGCAGACATCCCCCACACGGGAGATTTGGGGATTTTCTTCTACGACTATACTGAGAAGGTTGGCTAGGGTTTCCTATGCCATTCCTCTGGTATTCCCCGGCCCTATGGAGAGGTTCTGGAATCCTTAGGAGGGAAGAACGGAGTCAAGAGGAGTGAGGTTCTCTTTATGATCTCATTACCAGGATGTGACCCTAGAAGGAAGCAGGAGTCCAGCCCTAAATAGGGACTCAGAAACATGTAAGGCTATCAAAGCCAACATGCCCCATCCAGCCTCCAGTTGATGGTGCCCCGCCCTGGCACTGGCGAGCCTATCCTGCATTCTGCCATGCTGCAGGGAGGACCAGCATAAGGGAAGAAGCAAATCAGGCTCTCCAGATTTCGGTAGGGGTAGTGGATGCCAGGAAGCTTGGGGAATGGGGTACTTGGCTGTTTGTCTTTGCAGGGCTCTCTCAAGGCTCCCAGCCCAAGCATTAGTACTGGGGGTATCTCATACCAGGGGCAGGGGTATGATGGTATGTGGCACCTTGTTCTCTTCCCAGATTTGTCTCAAAGTAGCAGCCATGCCCACTGCTTTTCCAATTCCAGCTACCACGCACTGGCATGTGGGGGGCCTGCCACCAGCCAGGCCAGCACTCTGGACAGGAACAGCCCCACCAAGGTACCGGGCCCCTGATTCCCCAGCCCCCACTCACTGCCCTCTCATTTAACCCTCACCTCTGCCCAGGAAGGAACTGCATCCCCCACATGGAGGGTCCATGTAGAACTGACCACCAATACATTAAAAGCAACCCTGTGATCCATGGTACATGTAAACACTCTGTGAAGCACGTAATGGGGCCAGCATGTTATGTGGAGCCAAGTGCTGTGTAACCAACCCACAGCATCACTCACTATAACATGTACCCCTGCACCCTGTAACCAACTGGTACCAAGTCATGTAATTACGTATTAGCTTTATCACCTATAATCATGTAGACACTTTTGCCACATGTCAGCATGTAATCAAAACACCAGACCACCTTGTAGGCCAGGCGTGGTGGCTCATGCCTGTATTCCCAGCTACTTGGGAGGCTGAGGCAGAAGGATTGCTTGAACCCAGGAGGTGGAGGCTGCTGTGAGCTGAGATCGTGCCATTGCACTCCAGCCTGACAACAGAGCAAGACTCCATCTCAAAAAAAAAAAAAAAGAAAAGAAAAAAACTAGACCACCTATCACAAATCACTGCAGTATGCTACCAACACAATGTGTGCAACTGGCATATTATAGAGTAACTACTGTTATTCAGATAACTACCTAACAATAGGTTATCTGAAACATAACCATGTCATCAGTACCCACTCATAACTATTTGTTGCAATCTCAATCAACACAAGGGATGTGGAACCCAAACTTCAGCCACAGCCAGTGTTCTGAGGACAGTGAGTTCTGTAGGTCTTCATGGCAGGTGTGCACCCTTCTGGACAGGACCTTCCCTGACAGCTTCCAGCATAACCCTGGCTGTTGGCAAGATGTCCTCTTATACTCACAGGCCCTTGGGCAAGGATGTCTCCGCACTTATGTGTAGATAATACATATGGGAGCTCCCTTAATGTGCCCAGCCTCACACCAGGCAGAGCGGGAAACAAGAAGTGAGGATGAACAGTCCCCAAGGACAGGTCTGAGAGGCTCATGCTGCATACCTCTGGATACCCACCTGTGCCCATGCCCACAGACACAGAACAGTAGGGAGCAGGGCCATGGTGGGAGTGGGAATTTCAGGATTCCTAGCTTCCCATAATACCCATTCAGGGACAAAAGCATGGCTTTCACTGTCCAGGGCTATGCCCTAGAGATCTACGAGTCCTTTCTTCCCTGTCCCGTGGAGAATGACCATCGGCCTACAGACCTGGTCCAGCAACAGTAACACAGATATACAGCCTCAAGGGCAACCACTATCAAGCCAACACCCCAAGACCACTCTCAGCCTCCACCCTCTTTTGGTAAGGGGCTGGAATTACTGCAGAGTAGCCAACTTGGTGACCCTCTGGGTCACCTCAACCCAGGGGCCCAGAGTGGCTCTATGTGGTTAAGGACCCCTCAGTCTAACAGATAGGGCTTCTGCAGCAGAGGCAGGCAGCTGTGATGACATGGAAAGGACATGGCACTGGGAGCTGAGACCTGAGTTCCAGACACAGCTTTGTCACTGACTCCTTGTGTGTTCACAAGCAAAGCACACAAGTCAGGACTCAGGTCGCCATCTGTAAAATGAGGATAACCATCCTTGCCTCATATGAAGGGCAGCTGTGAAAATGCAGAGAAAGGAAAGACGACAACATAAACCTCAAGATACTCTATTCTGAAGCTTTCCTTTGGTCACAGGAAAAGGAAAATCTCACATTCAGCCCTAATCAAGATCAGGTGGCAGAGGTAACAGTGACATTGCAGGCAGCCTCAAGACTTCCCTCTGTGCTGGAGATGGCCTCATGTTGCAGCTGAGACATCACCAGAGGCCCCTCTCCTAAAGCTAAGCCCCACCCCCCAGCTAATCTGCTTCCTCTATCAGGGCCAGCTTGGCTCAAGCTACCCCAGGAGGGCTGGGAACCCTACAACTTCAGCCCAACACCTGGGGTGGGGTATGTTCTGTTCCCACTGGCATCAACCACACCATGGTGGCCTGTCATGGAACACCTAGCTCGCCCTTTCTTTCAATGGCCTAGGACCCAGGTGGGTCAGGATTATCACAGGGTGCGTGCACTGAAGCTACGCAAAGTGAAGACTGGGGAGGGGTACCTGGGGCACTATATATTAACTGGCTCTCCTACTCTCCAAACAGCTCAGTAACAAGTCCCTTGACAGAGACACAGCAGGCTGGACCCCCTACAGCTATATGAACGTGTTAGGTCAGTAGTGGTTTGAGTCTGGTCCCCACCATCATGTCCCACCCTATTCTTCTTCCATACTGAGAGGGATCCAGCTTGAAGGGAAAGGGTTATGAGTCCTGAACATGGTTTCCCCCAGGGAGAAATTTTGGCTCTCACAAGCAGATGAAGCCCTAGAATCCCTTTCCATTACTATATTAGGGCTAAATCCCTGCTATGACCCAGGGACCACAAGGGAGAAAACCAGGGCCAGGATGTAGGGAATCTAGATGGAAGCAAAAGACACTCACCATCTGGATAGGAACCTCTGCCTGACCCAGGCCCTACCAAGGCACTCCTTTCAAGGGCTTCTTTCCCCTGCCTCCTCCCTGGTGGAGGAGCACTAATTCCTGCAGAGGGAGGGAGGAAGGAACGGAGGGAGGGAGAGGGGAAACAAGGCAGATGACCTTGGCTCTAACAGAGCCCGTGGCCCCAGCCCCCCTGGATGCTATACACAGAGGCCCCCAAGTCCTCCCAGCCTGCCTCACCCTGACCCTGGCCCACTTGTGTACTTCCTACCCTCTTCCCTGCCATACCAGGGCCCTGGGAATAATGGCTCCTCCCTGTCATTCCTCTCACTAGACTCCCATTTCCAGATCAGTGCCCTGGAGGCCAGGTACCCGCCCGAGGACTTCTACATTGAACTTAGACACCTCAGCCACCCCGCTGAGCCACACTCACCAGGTCAGACCCCAGCCCTACCCTCCACCCCCTCATGCCAGACCAGACCCAGCACCTGCCCTAATCCCCATCCCTGCACCTTGACCTCCACCCCATGGTCCCAGAACTCTCCCTTTTAAGCCCTCTTCCCTCCTAACATGTCTACCAGCTCAATCCCCTATCTAAAGATGGAAACCTGTCTGGATCTTCCCCATCACCCATTCTGTTCCCACAGTGAATGGTGGATGTGGACAAACGGGCTACCTAGGGTGGAGAAGATACAACAAAACTGCCCTCCCTACAGGCCACAAAATACAACCCAACATCATTCAAAAATGACTTGGGGATGGTGACATCTTTGGGGTTCTTTGGGCCCTGTTGGAGTGGATAACAGGGAGTTAGCTCTCTGGCTAATAAAGTCCAATGTTTCCCACAGACTCCAGAAACCCCAGTGGCCCAAGCCAAGCTTTCTCAGATCACAGGGTAGGGTTGTCAAACAGGGATCGGCAGAGGCTGGGGCAGGATGTATCAACCAACATCATCTGTACTCATGTACTGAGTACAGCCTGGGCTGAAACCTGGTGGCTTGGGAGAGACACACACAAGAGACTTGGAAAGTTAGCTCTGAGATGGGAACATGTGGGTAGGAGTTACATAAGGTATCATAGGAATAAGCGCAATGAATGAACAGAGAATGTGGCCTCCCTACAAAGTGGCTCCTCTGGGGCACACTGGGGCAGGGCCTTGGCACACTGGACAACTCTAGGCCTGACCTCAGGCTCTAGGTGGCTTCTAGAACTCTAAGGAAACTGAGCTGCTCTACTAACCCCTGCAGGTCCCTGGGTCCAGTAACACGAGGAAGGGTGAAAGTTCTGAATTCATCTGCCCACTGAGCAGGCATGGGCTGCATGGACCCTGGGCCTATACTCAGGAGGCTGTATTCTTAGCTGTGGGTCCCCTGGATAGTATCCAGGGCATTTAATAACCCCACTAACTATAATCTCTCCCACTCCCCCAACATATACACACACACAGCCCCACCACCACCACCCTGTATCTCTTTCCACAAGGGAGCATCCTCTGAGCCAGGCCAGATTTCTCCCTGCTTTACAGATCTCACTCTTCAACTAGTGTAACCAGAGCACCATGCGCTGGCATTTGTCTTACACCCAGGCAGGCTGGTGTCCAATGCGAGATAATACTTGGAGAGATGTGGGCTGTAACTGTAACTCAGCTTCTCACTTGCCAGTGTGGTTTTGGACAAGTCACTGCTGCTCTTTGGGCCTGTTCCCTGTTCTGTAAAAAGGAAAAGTTAATGCCCTAGCCACCTTCCCTCAGGGAGGGCAAAGGGAGTCCTTTGTATAAAGTGCTGAACTAATGCCAGCATATAGGCAGTTGCAGTCATGATTCTGAAGAACACAGGTACCTATACACCTTTCAGAAAAAATTTGAGGCCGGGTGAGGTGGCTCACACCTGTAATCCCAGCACTTTGGGAGGCTGAGGTAGGCAGATCACGTGAGGTCAGAAGTTCAAGACCAGCCTGGCCAACATGGTGAAACCCCATCTGTTAAAAATACAAAAAAATTAGCTGGGAGTGGTGGCACATGCCTGTAGTCCCAGCTACTCGGGAGGCTGAGACAGGAGAATCCACTGAACCTGGAAGGTGGAGGTTGCAGTGAGCGGAGATTGCGCCACTGTACTCCAGCCTGGGTGACACAGCGAGACCCCATCTCAGAAAAGAAAAATAGCAAACTTGAAAGAAAAACTTAGGCCTGGTTCTGCTGTATCCATCAGTAATGTGTGGAAGGTAGGCAGATGGGAGTAGACTCTTTCAAATTCAACATGGGAACTCTATGTAGAGGAGCTATAGGGAGGCATCTAAATAGCAACAGGATGGTCTTCAGTGTGAGAAACTGGGAAGAGTCATGGAATGTCAAACTGTGTTTTAGTAAGTACTTGCTGCAGGTCTCACTTGGTACTGTGTCCTCGGTTCAAAGCTGGAAGAAAAAATTGCTCTTTGAGCCAGTCATTACTGTTCTAACCTAGAAATGCCAAACAATTTCTTTTCTGGGATCACCAGTAGCAAAGAACCCAAGCTTAGTCCCTGAAGCCTCTGGCTGAGGCTCAGGGCCATCATGTGTTGTTGGAGCTTAGGAAAAAACTGACAGCCAAAAGGTAGAAAGGAATCCTTGGGGCTGAAAACACTGGTAATACTTTCCAAAAACAACTCTACATTATGTGCAAATGGTCCACCCCAAAAAATGAGTAACTAAGAGAACTGGCTATGGGAGGGAATGTCTGCACATCCTACAAAGACGACTAATCAAGAACCTCAGCCACCTGTCTCCCTCTTTCTCTCTGGCTCCCCTCAGATAAGCCTTGGATCCAGGAGAGGACAGACAGGACCAGAGCTGAGAGGTGATAAATATTATCTTCAAACCCATGCCAAATTCCAACAGAACTGTGATTTGTAATGTCTTACAACTTTCCCTCAAGCTAAGAACTGGTTCTGCTTCATTCCTTATCCTATACCCTTGGAGCCTGGAGTTTCACCTGCAGGGAATGCAGGTGGCATCAGAACGGCCTTTTATTACTTTCTGAAAGACATTCCCCTAGGGTGAAGGTTAAAGGGAAGGAGTGCTGAATATGCCAGGGGTCGCTGTAGTTCACCTTAATGCTTATGAGCCTTTCAAGAATTCCTATAATCAGAACAATTTCAGGTGGATTAAACCCAGAATCATTTATCAAAATAATTTCAGGTAGATTAAACCCAGAATCATTTTCTAGCAATAAACAACTATCTATTTTCTGGGTAGGGGAGAAAGTGGGGAAAAGCAAGAAAAAAGAACAAACACAAGCAGTCTAAGTAAACCTCACCCCCATATTTTCTTGCCTTACGTTATTTTTACACAGGTGCTTGTGGAATGGATAGACGTCAGAACACATACATTATGGACAAAGGCTTCAAAGGTAGAGTATCCAATCCCGATGTCTTATTACAGAGGGCTTAGCAAGATAAAGAGTGCAGATCTGAAATGGCCAGGAATTCCAATTGAGAGAAACTGCGTGTGTCTGCCCCCACAAAAGGTCAAAAGACCACAGGGCCTGGGGCTGCTGGGTAGCTGTGCCCAGGAGGAGCAATCATAATAATAATGGAATTCATCTTTCGATTTCAGTTGCACCTGCTTAGCAAATGCTTGTGGGTTTTTTATAGATGCCAACTAAATGTCTTCGGAAATGTAAAGCGTCATTATCCAACCAATTAGTACGAGTTAAATTGATAAAAAAATCTGAAATAAAGTTGATCTACCTGCCCCAGAGGCCTCCTGTCGTTGCACTAGCAAGGAATGCCACCCTGCACCTGCTGGCTTTCTGGGGGCACAAGGAATGAAAATGATATGCAGTGTTAATATTGTATGGCACTCCAACCTCAAGAGATCTCTGCCTCCAAGAGCAGAGAAGCCAAGACAAATCCCTAACACATGGGAACTGCAAGTTGGATCATCCCTCTAGGAAGTCTACAGGTGAAGCCAAAGATGAAAGGTCAGGTCCTGCCCTAGGTTTAAATGCCAGAATGTGTGAAATAGGGGGCTTTGGAACTCTGTTACTTGACACTCTGTTGCTTATTAACTGTGACCTTAGACTGTGAGCTCTCCAAGGCTGTTTCCTCATCTGCAAAGTTGGGATAATTTTGCCTGTCCTATTGTCTAATGCCTGTCCCATTGTCTAACAAGGTTATCATGAGTAACCAATAAAATCACAGATGGGAAGTGTTTTTGCATACTGTAAAGGTGGTACTAATGTAATGGGGCTATTCTTTTGTCTCGGAGGTCTATTTAAAACAGCTTAAGGCCAGGCACAGTGGCTCACACCTGTGATCTCAGCACTTTGAGAGGTTGAGGTGGGCAGATCACTTGAGGTCAGAAGTTCAAGACCAGCCTGGCTAACATGGCAAAACCCTGTCTCTACTAAACATACAAAAATTAGTTGGGCATGGTAGCATACACCTGTAATCCCAGCTACTTGGGAGGCTGAGGCACAAGAATTGCTTGAACCCGGGAGGCAAAGGTTGCAGTGAACCAAGATCACGCCACTGCACTCCAGCCTAGGCGACAGAGCAAGACTCTGTCTCAAAAAAAAAAAAAGAGCTTAAGCCAAACTGAGATACAATAGCAAAGGTCCCAATGCATATCCTAAATCTAACAGTGTACCAGAATCACCTGGAAAGCTTGTTAAAAATACAGATGTTCACGCCCCATCTCCTCAAAACTCTGATGCAGATCTAGAGTGGGGCCCTGGAATCTGCATGTATGAAGAGCACCCTCAGGGTATCCTTATGCAGCTTATTCCCCAAACACTGGTCTAGACTGACCCAGATGTCCCTGATTACTGTTCTAGTCTCTCGGACCTAGCTTTACATACACCAAGACACAACCATTCCCTAACCAAGAACAGGTAGTCGTCTACAGTCCTTTTGGGGAAATGGTTATTAGATGTGGGGTGAGCTCAGGGTAGGGGGTGGTGGTGAGTACTGCGTTCTGAACAAGAGGCTGAGTCACTATCAGCCTTTGTTACGATATGCACAGCCCAAGAGAATTGTCTGAGGACAAAAGGTCATCCCCAGTCTCCCAGCCAGCCAACAGACATTCCCTTGGAAGCATTATTTTGGCAATTTTCTGTGTGTTTTGACTTAAACCATCCAAATGAAGAACAGTAGGTAAGGCCGAAAACAAAGAACAGTTCTACTATTTCATGACTATGACCTGGCACCTCAGTTTCTTTCTCTAAAAGGTATGGGGATTGGGCAGAAAGATCTCTAAGGGCCTTTCTAGCTCAAGACCACGCATGAATCAAGCGTGAATAAACTCAGGCCCAGAAACTCCAATAACTGAACACACAACTTTCCTATGCACTGTGTTGTCCTGTACATTGTGATTAGGGTGGTTACTTTCAAATTCGCATATACAACAAAGCTCAAAGCTTAACATGTAAAAAAAGACACATGTAAAACAAAGCTCAGGAAAGCAGTGTCTCTGCCTCAGCATACATTTCATTCCTATTTCGTAGAATCACATATCTGACCTCTGAGTGCAGGGGAGGGCTCAGCAGGCAGCCAGCCAGATTTTATTTTACCACTCTGGCTACAATCATCCTTTAAAGAGAAAAGAGAGCTATGTAAGCAAATGTACCAGCAGGTGTTGGGGACCAACACATCAGAATAAGAACTGAAAAAAAGGAAAATACAATGTCACAGTTCAGAACTTTACAGCAATACTTACCAAAACATGGAATAAATCCCACTAATTGGCTAACGCCCCCCAAATAAACATTTAATAAGCTAGTCTGTAGCACAAATGAAACTAGTTCCTGAAACTACTGGGGCAAACCAAATCAGTACTAAGAATTAAGAGTCTCAGTGTTCTCTGAACTCAGTGGGGGAAAAAGCCCTAGCCTAGGAGTTAAGGAATGTGGGTTGTAGTCCTAGTTCTTGCTGTGTGGTGCTGACTAGGTCACAGCACTGTTTTCTGGGTCTTGGTTTCTTCCACTATAAAACAATGGGGTTGTACTAGCAGCATCTCTAAGGCCCTTTCAATCTCTGACATTCTAGAAGTCTTAGGTAGCCGGACACAGTGGCTCACGCCTGTAATCCTAGCACTTTGGGAGGCCGAGGTGGAAGGATCACGAGGTCAGGAGATCGAGACCATCCTGGTTAACATAGTGAAACCCCGTCTCTACTAAAAATACAAAAAATTAGCCGGGCGTGGTGGCGGGCGCCTGTAGTCTCAGCTACTCAGGAGGCTGAGGCAGGAGAGTGGCGTGAACCCAGGAGGCAGAGCTTGCAGTGAGCAGACTGAGCCACTGCACTCCAGCCTGGGCAACAGAGTGAGACTGAGACTCCGTCTCAAAAAATAAATAAAATAAATAAAATAAAATAAAAGCCTTAGTCAATGCCTGCCCTTTCCCTTGTTACTTACTGAAGAACTCCACTCACTGTCATCCTGGAGGTTCAGTGAGACCACTTACACTGCTCAACACCCTTCTATTACCCCTTCTCCCCCCAGCACAATGATTCTGCAACAAACTGCCTGGTGTTCAATTGTCAGCCATTTCAAACTGCTAAAGAAGAAATCCTCCCAGCTATTCTCCATCGCCTTTATGATGCTGCAATCCTTGAGCCCACTGTTGCTGCCACTTCCCCCCGCCCCGTGTGCTCCTTGCCATCTAACTTCCAAGTTTCTCTTTGCATAAACTTGGGGCTTAGGTAATTAGGAGCCCAATGACATCCAGAAGATTGTTTTTAAAGCCAGTGTTCTGACCCCAAGACCTCCTCCCTCCTATCTCTCCATCAAGAGAAAGATGCTAATTTATGGCCCAGGAAGAGAAGAAGCAGTGTGGCCTTCTATTAATAGTAACAAGCCAAGAAGCAAGAGATGGATATTCAATGCCTGGGTTTTTCCCTAACAGTTAAGTTGAGCCTTGGTGGAGGTTAGCATGCCCCTTAAGCCAAGGTGGGCTCAGATCCCACACACAAGGTGGCCCTGGAAAGTTACTGCCTCTCTCTGGATTTGATGCTCCCTTTATAAAATGAAAACATATAGTTCATCTCATAAGCCCCCTCTGTCTCTGATAGTGTATGACTATGTGGGGAGGTAGGAACCAGATGAGAGCAAATGCCAGGGCATTACAGGACCAAGCCACCAATCCTGATGCGAACGACAAGCCTTGGAGGAGTGACTCCCAGAGCTTGGGTAGCCTGGGTTGATGCTTCCTCTTTCTTTGCAAAATGCTCTGAAGGGTTGGGACTGGGGACAGGGGTGGGGCTATAAAAGGATGAGGAAGTATCTAAGAGCAGCTGGTTATTCTTCCACTCACCCTGCCCTCCCCTCTCACAGGCAGGTGGATGACTCAGCTGGAGAACAAAGTGGCTTCCTGAGGTGGAGTTTCCAGCTTGCCCAGCCCTTCCCCATTCTCCAGTCCCAGTAGAGATGGGGTACGGATGAGTCCATAATTCAACACCCTTTTCTCACCACCTAGCCAACACACACTTGCATTGCTCCATCCTCTGCCCCTGTATGGAAGATACTTCTCCCTGAGCTTAGCCCCTCCCCCACGCAAACATCAACTTCTCTTTTATCCATATAGGATCATCCCCTGCTCCAAAGCCAACAATTTATTCCCCAAAACTTTAAAGTAGCCCTCACTTTTCTGGTGAAAATGAGAAGAGGCACTATCAACTGGCTGAGGTTCTTTTAGGCATTGAGCTTCAAAGGCTCTCCTACTGCCCTAACTCAGTCAGTCATGGGATATCCCCAAAAAGCTTAAGAGCTTAGCCTTTTTCTCTCAGCTGGGCTTGGCCCCATAGATCAAAGACATTCCTTGTTAAGGGTAAGGTGGAGCTCCTGCTGATACAGTTTGCCTTTAGAGATATGGACAGGAGCACTGGATAACAAGACATGTAGTGAAGGAAAACATCTTGATTGGTATCAAGAGAAGATGGTGTTGAGTCCTGACTAAACTACTTACTAACATTAGGAATTACATTAGCAAATTTTCTGAGCTTCACGTTCCTCATTCTAAATTAGTAATAGTCCTTTCTGCCCAGCCCTATTCACGATGTAACAAGTTTCAAATGACTTAACTGGAATGAAGATTATAAGTGCTACGTAAAGTGGTTATTCCTTGTGTGTTAGAAAATATGCAGTTGAGGCAGCTGCAATAGCCCTTCTTTAAATACTACTAGTCATCAGCTTCCAAACCAGAAGCTCTGTGCCCTATTGCCTTACTCCTTAGCTGGTGAGTTCAGAGAACCCAAAGTGGGACAGATGGGCCACGCTGGGGTTCTTGCACTTACCACCACTTCCTTGTACTAAAAAACTAAACACCCACTAAGAGGCAAATTTATGTGGCTTGGGCAGGTCACAGTCAAGGGCCCACAGCCCCTTTTCCCCATGTGAGCCTCAACCAGCATCTAGGCCTATCTAGCCTCCCTTTAGGCCATGCTGGTGCTGGCTGAGATCGTTCAGTGTCTTGCAAGCATATTTTCTCCTTCTCTCTAGAGTCATATGCTAAAGAGGCCACAATCTTAAGACATGACTAAAGCCAACATCCCTCTCAACTTCTGGGCTAAATTGTGATGGAAAGTGCTCTGAGCCTAGTTCTACAGAGTTTGCTCTGCTACTGATAAGTAGTGTGATCCTGAGGAAGTCAATTCCCACTCTAAATCTCATAAGCAATGACTTCCTCATAAGCAATAAGAGGAGAAGAGAGATAATTATTGCTCTACCTATACCACAGAGTGTTGTAAACACTTAAAGGAACTAATGGGTGAACATATTTTTGTACAAGATTGAGGAAATACTACCTGCTGAAACAAACATCAACAGAATGGACATCTACTTTAACAGAAAAGTAAATCCTCTTCCAACCAGTTGCCTTTTATGGGAAATAAGACTACTTGTGGTGGCATACGTCTAGCTACTTTGTACATATGGAGTGTTCTGGCTTTCAGGGTCCCAAGGTACATCTAAGTCATCCACTGAGTTGCATTATCACTTTCACTTTTTACCATTTTCATTACTCTCACAAGTTGGAGACAGACAGCATAAATAAATAGCAACCCAAAATGTAAACTGTGGTAGTTCTAGTGACAGATTATCCAAGAATTTCACCATCTGCTACCTTTCACAGAAATTTAGTGCTGAGATGCCTTTTAGATCACTTCTATCAACTCAAGCAACCCAGTGCTTGTGTCTAGTTCCCTTGTCTAGCACAGCCTCACAGATGAAGGTCAGAGCTGCTACATTAGAGTTTACTGCTCTTTCCAGGCAAATCCTGCCTTGCTTGGGACTATGTGCAGGAGAATGGTATAGAGGCTGAAAGAGGGAATCCCCTTTCCTTCCGTGGCTCCTAGTCACTAAAGAACCTTTCTTCCTCCAGTGAAGCTACAGTACCTCATTTCATATTTGGAAACCAGCCTGCATCCTTTTGTACTCTGAAGTCTTGGGGATGGTACAACTATACAACTGAGAGGTGGCAGGAGAGGAAGCATGAGCTCTAGTATCAGAAAGATGCTGCTGAAATGGGTTTCAGTTAGCATTGACAAGAACAGGATAAGCAACCCAAGAACACGTTATAGGCTTGCTAGAAAACAGGAACTTTCCAAAGGCTAGCTTAAGACTGACGTGCTTTTTACACCTCAATTACACTTCAGTCTACCCTATTCTGATCATGAGCTCCTGGAGGGCAGGGATACTGCTAAGAGTCTGCCACTTATAGGCTGTCAAATTGCTGACATCTGTGCTAAAACATGCACGCCTACTTCTTCTGAACCTAAGCTTCTCAGTCATCGAAAACAATTCAAGCCAGGTGTGGTGGCACGTACTGATAATACCAGCTACTCAGGAGGCTGAGGTGGAAGAATCACTTAAGCGCAGGAGTTTGAGACCAGCCTAGGCAACATCTCAAAAAAGAAGAATTCACAAGAATATCATCACAGAATGCACAGGCCAAGGAGTCCAAAGGCATGGATTCAAGTCTTGGCACTGACATTTACTACCTGTGTGACTTTAGCTAAGTCACTTCATATCTCTGAGCCTTCATCTCATAAAATGCAACTATCAGCAATCCTTGCAAGAATTTACAAAAATTAAATAATACATGTCAAAGCATATTATGCATATCTTGAATTAATACCTGACTACTAAAAACAAAAATGTTCCTGTCCTCCAAAAACATAAGTTTCTTTGGAAAAAGAACTCTGCCTACCTGGGAGAGCACTTCTCAACACATTTAATAAGTAAATCAATCTTGGATTATCCTGGCTTTTCCAGCCCTAGGATCCTGAAGGCACATAAACTCAACTACAGTCTGCTTCTGGTATTAACATGAAGACTTGTATTCTTGTTTGTCCTAAGAACTCTCTCTTGCCTTGCAGATTACATGAAAGAATCCGTGTGCAGTTCTAGTACTTGTTCCTTGAATAGCAGTGAAAACCCTTACGCCACAATTAAGGACCCACCCATCCTCACCTGCAAGCTTCCAGAAAGCAGCTATGTAGAAATGAAGTCGCCTGTGCACATGGGGTCTCCGTACACAGATGTGCCATCCTTGTCGACATCTAATAAAAATATATATGAAGTTGGTAGGTGTCTCAAATAAGTAACTTAGTGAAATCAGGGCAATAATGCAGCATTTGAAGTAAAAGCAAGCCCTCTCCACTCACCCCATCTTGACCACACATCCTTCTTTTGTTGTTTTTTAAGGCATCTCTAAGGTGAACTGTCTTTCCTAGGACTGCCCTCCCTCGCTAATGCAGGAATTATTAAGTTGGTACAAATTATTACATACCAACAAAATTATTAGTTGGTACAAATTATTGTACCAACTCTGCTTTAAAAAACACCAGGACTAATATGAAACAAATACTGGGGGTGGAAAGTGGGTGCGCGCGCACACACACACACACATACTTCAACTGATTGTTGATACAAATCTCATTTTAAAAAAGAAAGCAATCAGAGACATTGACAAGTTTCTAAATCACCTTCTGCCTTCTCCCAGTTTATGTCCCTGGGCTCACTGATAAGACTCCTACCTCTAGGATGTTTTAAATCCTTTTGTGTTGACGAGAGGCTTGGATTTTGACAGCACGTTCACTTAGTTTTCCATCTCCTGAGCAAGCCTGAATCCTAAGCCTCATGTATTTGTCATAGATTTATAAATCCCTAGCTCCTTTCCCCAAGTTAAGCAGAACTCTCTTCCTCTCCAACAAGGCAACCAAAGCTAATCTGTTCTCTGAACTCATTTTTCACTATATTTCTTAGAGCCCACAGTCAGTGTGGTCCAAGAAGGTCGCGGTCATAACTCCAGCTATATCCAGAATCCATACGACCTACCTAGGAACAGCCATATTCCTGGTCATTATGACCTCCTCCCAGTAAGACAGAGCCCTGCCAATGGGCCGTCCCAGGACAAGCAATCTTAAGAGGGATAAGCTTCTCTCTTGCAATGTGCTCTACTGAATATTCTGACTCTCTGAAAGAAGACAATCCCTTGACTTGAAGTAATGGTACAGACTGGCTCCAGCTGCATGTTAGTTATTACGTTCACCTGGAACTAAAGAAGAGCGTCCAGGTGGGACTGGGATAATTGTTCAAGGAATTGTGTTCTCAAAGGCAAATCCTATCACCCACTCAGCCCCAAATGCCCTGGATATGATTTTTAAAACATTTTAAGATATAACAACTCATCAACATCAGCTAAATATAGCTGATACATATATATTTATCTGAAACGTGATATTTTAAAAACATGTAGGTTTAACAAACCTTCCTAGGACAAAAAGGAGACTGGGGAGGGAAGAGGATTACTTTCAAGCACCTAAAACGTATAGGTACTTTTGGTTGCTGTTATCATCAACATCTGTTTTATTACTGAAGACAATTAGTACATAGACATGAACTGTTCTTAAATAGAACAGTCTTAAAATATCTGTACATATACGTCTGGTCCATCAAATTACAACAGCCAAGATTACAGAATCTAGTATATAGTCTTATGCTGACAACTTCCATTTTAAAAAAACAAGACTTTACTTTCTTCTGCCCCGATAGGTTTAAATACACACATACACACATACACACAGACACAGACACATAGACACACATACACACACACACACACGTATCCAAAGTGCAGCAACAAGTCTGCAACAAGATTCCTAGGGCAGCTTTATCAAATTTTGCCAATTCAAAGTTTAAGGACATTACAAGTCAGTGCTGGCTATGTCATACCTACTTAGTCCATTCAACATCTGAATCATTCCATGTAAAACAGAGCTCTAAGATGATCCCATAAGTAAGCAGTCACAGACTGGTTGGGATTAAGTATCCCTAAAGACGGCTAGTTGGCCTCCTCATTTTATTTGGTCAGCATCCCTTGACTCAAAAGAATACTTGCTTCCAAGTAGTTCTTCATAAATCTTGGGATTGATGTAGTATGAAACCTAAAAGTATACAGGAAATTGGACAAATGTGGATATAGGAAATTTACATTGCTTAAAGTACATTACGCTTTTTGATGGAACTAAATGAAATGATCAAAAAAAGAATGAACTGTAACCAGTTGCTGTAACGTGATGTAAAAAGTTACTGTAAACAGCAGGGGATATGAAGTCCTTCCACCTTCTATCTTAAAACTACTACTTACTGAGCTAGCCCAATATGCATTACAATGAGCTAATGCTCCAGATCCCAGTATTCAGATGTGTCTGTACCTTCCACTATGAACATAGATAAACTGAGGCTCAGATGAGTCCAAATGAAGTCAAATCCCAAGCCCTAAAGAGAACCTTCTCACAAGAATTAAAAACAAAAAGGGCAAACCTAGGAAGCTAATGGCTACTCCTGTACCACTCTATTCACTGGTACAGTCCAGCCAGTAAAAAACACTTCCAAAAAGATATACAGAAGAGGAACTAAATGATTACAAAGCTGGAATACTGCTACAGCAAGTATGAGAGTTCTGAAACCCTTGATAGAAATTGGAAGCCTGCCATGGAACACAATACTTTGGGCAATAATCAGAAAAAGCAAAAAAATAAATAAATGAGTACATCTCCCCTTCCCACGTCACTCAAGGCATAAGCAAATTTTACTGTTAGAGGAAAATATATAATACTTACATGAATGCTGCATGTGTGCATGGGAACAACTGATTAGCAATAGTAAATTTACTTTCCAAAAAAGCCTTATTAAAATATAAATATTAGAAAATTACTTTGTAGACCCAAGTAAATATTTCTCATACATATGTAGAAAGAAATATAAGTAAGCGGCTTACCTCAGTATTTCAGGGCAGCAAGTGTTTGTGAAGCAAAGATGAAGAAGCATGAAGATGTCAGATCAGCAAGGAGAAACTTCAACTCAATCCCAGGTTTTCTCTTCTTCCCTTATCCTGCATGTATAATAACTGCTGCCTGGCAAACTACAAACAAGCAGCATCACTCAAGTTTCAAGTTTCGCCTCTTTTGTCAACTATCCTCTGGGCAAAGGTATTCAGCAAGAGGTGGAAAGGCTAGGCACTGAATCAAGAGATTTCAGTGTTACTCTGGTCAAGTTAGTTGCCCTCTCTGGGCTCCTTTTTTTTCCATGCATAAAAAAGGGGAGAAGCAGAGAGTGGGAAGACAGCTCTAATAACCCTTCAGCTCTAGCATTCCATGACTTTTTAAGGAAATATAATACAAGTCAAACCAGGCAATACAGAGAAGGGAAAGGCAGAAGGTGTGATTATGGTGACAATAGCTGCCTTCACCTATAGAAGAGTTATCAGTAAAAGACATTTCAATCTTACAAAGCAACTGTTAGAAACTTCTAACACCATCACAAATAGGTTCATGGTCAGCCTAAACATGTGCACTGTGCATTTTATGGGTGACTTTGAAAGATCTCAATTATTTTTCAGAAACTAAATTTTCAGACAAATATGTGTACAATTAAAATGAATGAAAGAAAAACCATTATTGTACAGTAGTATTAATGAGACTGTGAAATGGCAATACTTTTTTAAATCACAGATTTGTAATATATATGTTCACTGTGCAGAGGGATTGTACCTTGTACAAAATAAAACAAATTTCTCAAACTAATTTAACAAGAATGCATACTGTTGTGTTGCAAATGGAAAACACGTTTATAATCTACACCTTAAGTTTAAGGGTAGAACTAACCTACATCCTGCTTGGGCACTTTAAACAGCCGGAAGAACGAAAATTATTCTAGTAGATGCTTGAAAATAAGTGAAAAACTTGTATGGAATTTTTGACAGAGAAGTCTCTTTCTTTAAAATAATAAATGTGAGCACCATATTTTTATTCATGTTCAAAAGTTATTTAAAAATCTCATATACATTCAGTATACTAAAATTAGAGGGTTTCTCAGCTTTCACAAATATTTGGACTCAAAGACAACTATTACAGTTTGTGCTCAGCCCCAGAGGCACAAAGGTACTTATATGGAATGAATAAGGGCCAGTGTAAGGGCCACTTAATTTCTATAAATGCAATGAACAGCTTTCCACGAGTAGAAGTTATCATCCAGTAGAGTTACTATGGGTATATCTGTTTTACAAACTTTAAAGACATAAACTTGTGATCAAACTGGTACAGCAGCAACAGGGTTACTTTTTAATAAAATACAGATGCTAAAATATAGCTTACTGAGTTCATTCAAATAAGTTTAAAATTCCTTCTTCATAGTTCCAAAGGTTTGTATATAATCCTCATATGTATATAACCCTCATATTCTGAAGACCCATTCAGAAGAGATTACTAATAGGTAACTCTCAAGAGCTATGAGTTGACATCTCAGTTAAAGACAAAATATAATCAAGAGTTTTAAGACTAAAAAAGATATTTACTGACAGTAGTATAAGATTATGCACCACAAGTCTCAGAATATTACTCAGTACTACGAATGATAACTAATGGCCAATTGCTGCAAGTTGTGCACTCAGGAATGACACATTAGTCATTCATTTAACCAGAGGGAAGAAAGAAGAGGCCCATTTAATCAATATGCAGCAACAGGAAATGGAAAATCTTTCTATGAAGGGATGAATACATGGGGGGTTCATTGTACTTTTATACTTTCATATAATTATATATAAATATGTATTTATATAATTGTAATATATAATTCTGTATAATTTTAATAAAAACTTTAAAATTTGAATAGTAATTCTCAGCTCCCCAAGCTACACCAGAATGAACCCTAAGATTAGCCCTCTCACTCTTTTAGATGGCCCTCCCTAATTGTCCTGACATGGAATTGTCAAGGGGAGGGGGAGATAGATACTATGAATGTAAATACAGGTTGAGTATCCCCTATCCAAAATGCTTGGGACCAGAAGTGTTTCAAATTTGGGATTTTTTCAAATTTTGGAATATCTGCATATACATAATGAGCTATCTTTGGGATGGGACCCAAGTTTAAACATGCAATTCATTTTACACTTCATATTCACCTTGTACACATAGCCTAAAGGTAATTCTATACAATATTTTTAATAATTTTGTGCATGAAATAAAGTTTGTGTGTATTGAACCATCAGAAAGCAAAGGTGTCACTGTCTCAGCCACCCATGTGGGCAATCTGTGGTGGTTTGCAACACCATCATTCCTGACTGTGAATTTCTATGCTACCAATAAGTAATTCATTTTCTTACACTTATTCACACATTCACACTAGTATTTACAAAATATGATCATCAATCATTAATACAGGGAAAAAGAATGTGTTCAGGGTAACTAAGCAGCACAGTAGCATCACCAGAGTATCTGTACCAGCAGTTAAACCACTACCACCACCAGCTGGCTTTCAGTCTCCACCTACGATGCTGTTTTGATTGAAAGGTTACTGTACACCTATGCGGGAACACTGAATAAACTGTGTGTGGCGTGCCTGCGTTTTGACTGTGACCAGTCACAAGGTCAGGTGTGAAATTTTCCAACTGTGACATCATGTGAGTGCTCACGTTTTCAATTTTAAAGCATTTTGAATTTTTGGATTAGGGATGCTCACTCAACCTGTATGAAAAAAGCATGTTCCCTGCCCTTGTGGCTCTTACAATGTAGTGACTACCAAAGGGGAGAGATAAATGGAGAGCCCTGGTGATCAGTGGGGTGCTGATTATGTATTTTCTTCCCTGGGCTTGCAGAGCTAGAAAGAATAAACAATGCTCTAAACCAAACCCACAGAAAGTGGAAGCTCTGCTCTTTAGCTTCAGTTGTCAGATTCCCTCCTCATTCCACCTTCTGCTTCCCAAGCCACTGTCCAGTCTAGCAGATGGCCTTCCAGATCCTTGGGTCTGAAAGCATGGGGACTGTACAAAGTACGGTACTGTTATTTAGGCATCCACTCTAATGTAAATCAAAACTAGTAAATGAGGACCCCAACTGCCTCCTCCAGAATTGGTTTCACATCAAAGACAGCCTATGGAAAGTGTTGCTTCTTGGGGCTTCCCAGACTGTCCCATCTCAGGCATGATCTTCTACAGTATTCTTTGGCCCATATGATGAAACACTTTGGCACAGAGGCTAGTACAATGGTCAGCAACTTCTTAAAAGATATGACAAGGAACAGTACCCTCTTCCCTAGAGATACCTTAGAAAACGGTATGCTGAGAGATTAGAGGTTGTCAACAGGGGGACAGGCGCTAAAAACAGTACATTATTCATTGGGATGAGAGTTTAAAAGATCTGAGATTTTGTGGTTTGGAGCAAGGTTAAGTTCCACTGACTCAAACACAGTAAAGGAATCCTGTTGGCTGCTAATTCTCACGACCATCAGTGGTACTGGTAACATAGCAGTTAGCCAATATACATAACATTTTGTGCTCACACCTGTGTCAGAAACTATCCTATAATTAATAAATGTCAAAGACTTGAATTCAAATAATGTTTTGACTATTAATTAGATCACCATATCAACAACCCCAAAATACCATGTATGTCATGTACATGCACACATAAACCTGTACACCTGGATTTAATCACTGGTTCTACTGGATAGCTAGCCTGTGGATTGATCTACCTTCTTGTAGATTCCCATTAAAGAAATAATTTTTTAAAAATTAAACACAAAATGTTTTTAAAAGTTCTCTCCCAGACATGAGTATATTTTAAAGTATATATTAAAAGCCAGCAGTTTTTTTTTAACAGCAAAAGCCATAAAACAAGCAGTTCTCAATTTACAATATAGCAGCCCATCAAGTGCTCCTCCCCCTTAGCATATATGGTACTTTGATGCATATTATTGATATTGACAGTCATTTTGCAAATAAATGTTCTGAAAGCTTTCATCCTATTTAAAGGAGTAAACATGGAAATAAAGGTACCATTTTAATCAGGTTATTGTGATAAGACCAAAAACATTCCACAAAGTGTATACCTCATTTTGACTTCTCTATTAAATTTAAATTTGAGTTAGAATGTTAATAATTTGGCTTTAATAGAAGAGAGAGTTCATTCAAAGAATTACAGAGTTAGAGTTGGGATGAATCCCCAGAATTTATCTAATCTGGTACTCTCATTAATTGGAAGAATGTGAGGCTCAAAAATGAAATGACCACAAGAGCCATGACTACAAACTCTTCGTTACTCAGTACAGTGCTCTATCATACCAGCTACTTTCACTCTTTTAACCCACAGTTTACCATATTTTCTAATATATGCTAGTATATTGCCTAGTACACAACATCCTTTCAAATATTCTTTCTTTATTCTCCAATTCACTTTTCAGGAGAATAGATAACCTCAATCATATTGATTCTCAGCCTAATGGTCTCCCTTACATAAGTTATAATGACATTAACATTTTGTATCACTTTATTGTTACCATCAACCTCCTACAGTTTGGGGGGAACCAATCATTCTTTAAAACATTAGAATGACAACTCCAGTTTACTTGGCACATTGTATAGGTGAGTGGGAAAGACCTGTCAAATCCCAGAAAGGGGCGTGGCACCAGCACCACTCAACCAGAAGAAAAATCTCTCTTTGGCGCTAGTGTCATAGCTCCCTATCTGTTCTGCTAACCTATTAAATGATGTGGTGGAAGAGGATCCTTTCACAATCTTTGTTCACTTTTTTATAGAGCAAATGGAAGTCATACATAACCTTTTACAAAATTCATTTTTTGTTTTGTTTTCCAGGTTTGTGATATTTGTGAGACATCAGAAAATCAATTTATATTTTTTTCCTCTGTTAAAACAAACAAAGCAAGCCCCCTAAACTGAAACCTAACAGGTTAGAATAAGTTCTTAATTATCCACCCAGCCTTTGAATTATTTTGCTTCCGGTGTGGGCCAAAACTAAGTAGTACAGCTTCTTCTCTAAGGTAGATGGAAGAGATTATAACAATAGCTCAAGCCCACTAAAAGCATTTGTATTTTATAAATACAAGTCAGCAAAGACAAAAATTAAGATATTCATTTTCTCAATGATCAAAGAAATGTGACCAGCTCTGATGGGCAACCCAAACTCAAGAAGTCTAACTTTTCTGCAGAACCCTTCAGAACTTAAAAGATCACTGATGTAAGGTCACTAGCTGGCACCTCTTCTTATAATTACAATTTAACATAGTCAATGCAATGGGCAATAACTTACCCTTACATAATGACAACTACTATTAAAAATAAATCATGGCATTTGAGAACAATGACGTAAGATTAAATCAAGGCACCACGGCTAACTAACTATTCAGGAGACTATATAACAGGTTAAAAAAAAATAATTCAAGGCTGGGCACGGTGGCTCACGCCTTTAATCCCAGCAATTTGGGAGGCCGAGGCGGGCAGATCACGAGGTCAGGAGATTGAGACTATCCTGGCTAACATGGTGAAACCCCATCTCTACTAAAAATACAAAAAATTAGCCGGGCGTGATGGCGGGCGCCTGTAGTCCCAGCTACTCAGGAGGCTGACGCAGAATGGGATGAACCCGGGAGGGGAGGTGAAGCTTGCAGTGAGCGGAGATCGCGCCACTGCACTCCAGCCTGGGTGACAGAGCAAGACGCCATCTCAAAAAAAATAAATAAATAAAAATTTTTTTTAAAATTCAAAGTTAAAATAACTGAAAATCAAGGTCAA